AACAAACAAAGGAACAAAAATACTGACTCATGTTGCAGGGTGAAAGCCTCTAGTATTTAGGTAACAACTATTTCTGTTAAGTCAGGTTATTTCCAATTCTTTGTTTTAAAAAACAACCAGAAATCATTAAATATGGAAAGTCTTGTGATCCAAATAAATATGAAATACTGGATTTCAATCTATATACTTTTTTTTTTTAAGTTACAGAGAGTATGGCAGAGTGATCAATAGAACACTTTCAAGCATAAAAATATATTACACTGAGAGAGAATTCTATACAGTGGAAGGGAAATGGAGTAAGAATTTAAAGAGATAAAAGATGTAAAATGTTTAACTTTCAAAAGATTGATTCTTGAATCTCATGAATTTTTTAAACAAATGATATTGGAAATCAAATATATATTTTACTAGAGTTTTTAGAATGATGTAATACTTTAAAATATTAACAGTTACAATATGCTGAGAAATTACATCCCCTGGAAGTATTTAAACTTAGGATGAAAAGTTTTAGCATTTAACTGAAGAATGTGCTTAGGGACAGAGTTTCACCAAATCTTTTACGAGGCATAGAAGCAAAAAGGTTGTAAGAATGCTACTCTAATACAAGCCTTCAGGGTCTATCCAAGATGAAATGAGAAGGAAAGAGAAAATGAACAATTTCCCACCTATCCAGTTTTGAGTGAGGATGGCTGGGGGTGGAATGAGGATTAGTATTTTCTCCATCCTCTCCTTAGTCCTAAGTACATTCGCTGAACCCAGTTCTACAGCCAACAGTTTATAAGACTGATATCAATCAGTTTAAATATCTGATCTTAACTGTACTGCTGACTGGGCTTAGACCTCAGCTGATGAGATATATCTCATCAAATCTCCCAAGGAGAACTGCTAGAGTACCTTTCTTTCGGTTCTCCAGAAAAACTTATGGGGCAATATTTATAAAGGCTCACTTATTTTGTATTTATCTTATCATACAAAGGCAAATTTCACCATCAAGGGTGTAATATTGAACACATCTATCTACCTGGCACTTCAGGAGTGGCACATATAATACAAAGAATTGGAGAGTTCTTTACATATCGTGTAGTGAATATTCTAGGGATGGCAAATGTCCTGAAGAGTCATCTCAACAGACACATCTACATTACTAGGCCCTTGAACCCCAACGTTTTCCTTTTCTTCTCCTGTTCTGTAACCTCTTCTTCCCCACTGCCTCTTGCCTCTTTTCAGCCACTCCTTTGGGAAGCAGAAAGTCGTATATATGATGGATGAGGCCAGCACTTAATTTGGTATCTACACTGTTTTTAAAATACTGACTTTCCAGTCCTCAAGCTCTCAGAGACACAGTGAACCTATTTAGAGCAGATGTCAGAACAACTTCAACCCTTCTCTCCTTTAGTACGAGGAGGTAGCCCAGTTTGAGATAAGAGGTCAGTCTTCAGAGTCAGAAGGTCGGCTGGAAATTCCACTCCACCATTTACTAGGTACGAGTGTTCAGGCAAGTCAATTTCTCTGAATCTCAGGTTTCTGAAGTTCTTAAAAATTGTGTTGCTGTGGATTTGAGACAATACATATTATGCATCTAGAAATGTACCAGCCCACAGTAGGCTTTTGATAATCAATAGTTGTGAAATTAGATTTTTTTAATGTTCTTTAAAACGTATTTAAAATTAGCCAATCATTTCCTCTTGGCATAATGTCAACTACTGGCATGTTTTTCAATTTTGTTCTAGTCTCTTTAAAAACAAATGATTTGGAAAATGACTACCTTTCATGTCTAAGTATAGGGTGGGCGTGTGCGATGTAAAATGTACCTGCAGTACTAAAACTGGGGAACAGGCAAACACAGGATGAGGATAGCACAAAACTTAAGATTTCACCTATAACATTTATAAATATGCCAGCATGTCCTCAACCTGTCCTAAACTGTGTGAAACATGTTTAAAAACATGCACAGAACCTACAATTGACTCTTTTAAAGTCTACCCAAATTCAACTGCGGAAACAACACTTTCCCCAATCAAATTAGTAGAGAATTTTTTTGTAAATACTTAGTATTTTCAGCATGTGGGCAGACTGATACTCCACAATGCTCACGTTGGTGTAAATGAGGATTTCCTTTAGTCTCTAAAGCAATTTGACAATGTGTATCAAGGATTTTAATAGTACTGACATGCTTGTTCAGCAAAGTAGAAATGTATTCTAACCAAAAAACTCCCAGATGTATGTACAAGAGTATTCATTATACCACAATTTTTAATAGCACAAAATGATATCGCTTAATAATGTCCACAATAGGGGGTGAAATTACATGGTATAGCTTAGCCCATGGACTCTTTGGCAGTTATTAAAAATCATGTTAACAAAAATGTTTACATGAGATGGGACTGTTAAGTGAAAGAAGCAAGTTATAAAGCAGTATCTGGCAATGATTCCAAATTTGTATGTGCCACTATGATTCTCAAGCGGCAATAAGGAAATAAGAAAAATTTACAATGAAGAATTGGAATTACATGTAGTGATCAAAATCCATTCCACAGCTTGAAAGGACACAGTGTTAAGACTCACTACCCACGTCCTCATTTTAGAAAGAAGTGTGGGATGAGTACACTGCTGATTCAGATCCTTTTTATGAATGGCAGGGATAGAAAAGTGGGAAATAAAACTAAAAGTCATGTCTGAAAGTGATATTCCGCCCCTTTAAACTTTCAGTTTAATGAAGCTTTTGAGTGACTTTTATACCACATGCAGCAATGCTCTCTGCCTAGCTACCAAATTTGGCAGTGTGCAGAGATGAGAGAAGGTAGGAAAAGGTAAGGACTCACAACCTTCCAATATACACAGTTTTGGAGGAGGAAATGAAACGTTGCGAATACACACACATACACACCAATTCAGGTCTGTAGATGCTATTTAAAGCACACAATATTTTCCCACCCCCACTCTAAGCAGAAGCGCCTCAACACACCACCTGTGTGTCCCGCCCAATCCCCTCCTCCGCTTCAACAGCTACTGTGATCTGCACTTCATTACTAGTTTTAAAACTTCCAGCTTATTTCCGATGCACCCTACTACTACCAACAATCAAACGAGGATAGCAAGCAAGCCAAGGCTGTTTTCCAGCTTTCATGAAGTTTCCTGCATTTATTTTTCACATCAGATATATAAATGTCTAATCAAACCCCACAGATAAGAAACAGAATAAAAACTCCTTTGTATATGTATACATCTCATGTTACCCACTCTTTTACCCTAGGAAACAAGGAGTAACCCTAGTGCCTGTGACTCGAAATGACATCTTTCTGCTTAGTGTTCTCCTGACCTGGCCTGTGCAGCCACAGCTCTGCCTGCCTGTCTGCCAGCCTGGGCCCGGGTACTTCCACAGCTGCCCCACAGCAGGGCAGGCTTCTTTCTGCAAACAGTCTAAAATCGCATGAAGCCAAAGCCCACTGAAGTTATGATGAAAACAAGAGAAGCCCAAACACACCTAAATTGCCACCTTACGTGTCATCACTCTCAAACTGAAAGGTGTCTACTTGCTTGACAGTATGCGCAACGATGTGTTTGCAGCTGTCACACCGCAGAATAAACAGTTGGGGGAAGGAGTTGGGTGGGTTTCTGGTGGTCAGTTTCAGGAAATACACCCTTGTTAGTTCTGAGCTCAGGTTCCAAATCAATATGTTTTGGTGATTTATTTTTTTTTTCCAGGCTGGAAATGCGCTAACCTAATAATTAACCTTAAGCATACCATCACTTCTGCTAAAAACATTTTCTACACACAGACCTAAATTACTTTCGGTTGGGTTAAACAAAACAGAGAAGCGGTAATACAAGGTCTCTGAGAAATATGATCCTTTTCAATGGTCACCCAGGAGCTTTTCCTCTTAAATCTGTTTGGCGGGGGATGGGGGAGACAGGGAGGAGAGCACCCAAATTAAGATGCCACCCAGAGCACAATGATAGTCTCAAGAAAGTTGCCTAAGATAACTCTTCAGGGTTTCCCTAGTTGAGTAATTCTTGCAGGCGGGTGGGGAGGGATCGCTGGCGTCCAAAATTACGATCTGCAGAGGTCTCCTTATGTTGACTTTTTTTTTTAGGGCGTCCTTTTTAATTACACTGCAAGGACTCTGATTTCCACCTCCCTGTCTGCTGCTGGGGGGAGTTGAGAGCAACGCGCCAGGGCTGCGGCAGCCGCTCGGGCCAACTCCGGCGCTCGGGGGCGGGCAGCCCACTCCCCTCGGGTCCCACCCTCTCCAGCACACGCGCGCCCACCCGCGTGGAGACGGCTGTCCTCGCCCGTCTGCCCCGCGCCCCAGCTGGGACTCACCGTTGTCCAACCGCGCGATCTGGGGCAGCCGGTAAGTGCTGACCAGGAGGTCGAGCGGCACGGCCACCGAGCTCCACTTCACATCCTTGAGGCTGCAGCCCAGCGAGGGCGCCGGGTCCATCTCCCCCGCCGCCGCCGGCACCACCCGCGCCTCAGCGGCCGCCGCTGCTGGCGTTCGTGGTCTGGGGCGCGCGGGAGGCGCCGGGCAGCTCCGGCCGCGGGCAGCCGGGGGGCGCGGCGACTGGGGCGGCCCAGAGGGAGGGGACCGGCGCCCGGCTCAGCTGCCGCTGCGGGGCATGGCTGGGGCGCCCCGCGTGCCCTCACGCCCGGAGAAGACTCAGAGCAGCCCCGTGGCTGCGGGCGGCGGCGGCAGCGGCCCGGGTGGCTGCGGCGGCTCCCGCTCCGCCTCCTCCTCTAGCCCTGGGTCTGCAGCTGCGGCGGCCGCCCGCTCGCCTCCTCCTCCTCTTACCCCTCCTTCCCTCCGCCTCGAGCGTGTGAGGAGGAGCCGCGGGTCTGAGAAACGCCATAGCAGCGCTCCCAGCACTGACTAATCAACAAGGTGCGAGCAACGCCTGCGCAGCTCTGGGAGACACCGCCTCCGCCTCCCCGGCGCCGCCTGCTCCGCCCCCCACTCGGCCTCCGCCTCCCGCAGCTCCCGCGGCCGGGCGGGCTCCGCTCGGCGTCAGCTCCCTGGCCGGGGCCGCCAGCGCCCGCGGCTCGGCGCGCTCCGCAAGCTTTAGCTCTCGCTCCCCCGTCCGACCGCTCGGGCGCCCTGCAGTCTCGCCGGGTGCCGCTGCGCGCCCCGACTCCTTCCCCGCCCAGGCCCGTTCCCGGAGCCCGGGAACTGCCGAGCGAGCTCAGGGATCGCTCCCTGAGTCTTGGTGTCGGACACCGTCCGCCTCCACTCCTATCCTGGCAACGCAGTGGCGAAATACAGGGCACAAGAGACCTTTAGTGGCGCTCCGTCTTGCTTCCTGGTGACCCAGACTTTGGTCAGGAGAGTGCCACAGCCCAACGGGGCTGGGGACAGCAGGCGTGGAGCATGCCTTGGCATTTCCCGTCAACCCTACTCCTCCACCATCGGAGCTGGAAATGACTCCCACCAGTCTCAGCTTTGGCTGCTAGAGAAGATAAAAAGGGCATAGCACCGAAAAGCAGAAAGGTGGTGGGTGATCAGTACCCACATACAGGAAGGTGGCCATTCGGTCTAGGACCTTCACTGAGTGAAGGAACTGCTGGAGGCGGCGGGAGATG